TAGAGGTAAAATATATTTAACATGCGTTGGAATCAATGCACTTAATTTTTTTGGCAAGTAAGATATTTCACATCAATAAATTCATTGGGGATTAAAAGGAATGGTGCATCATACCTCAAGTGGTCCGACAACTTATCCTTACAATGATGCGTATTGAATTGAGAAAAAAATGATATTATTTTTAGCGGCTCCTTATATATGTAAAGGTGCAATAGAGATCAATTATGTAGGGAAAGATACAATTCTCATGCCTCATGTTTGCACTCATTCTATAATTGGTCCCCTATATTTAGGAAAAATACATTCGGTCCTTTATGTTTTAATAATTTGATAATTTTGATCTTTTCCATCAATTTATTGTTAGTCCATCAGTTAAATTACTGATGTACACACGTTTGATTCCGTTAGTACTAATGGAAAATTGATATAAAGAACTAAAAGTATTGAATTTTTAAAACATGAGGGATTAGATGTGTTTTTCTATAAACATGAGGGACCAAATGTGAAATTGGTGAAAACTTGAGGGACGAAAACTGTAGTATTCTCCAATTTTGTATTTACTCGTGGTGATTTTGAACCAATTTTGTATCTGAAATCCGTGTTGGTAAAAGTTATTTCACCTGAAGCAGAAATTGCCACTCTTAAATGTTTACACTTGGAAAAAAAACATGTCCACCAGTGACATCCACATGGTCGTCTATTTCTCCGAATCTCTATCAACTAGTTGTTACCCGATGTAGATGCGGTAGAATGATCTCGAGGTGATGGTAGGTGGTAAGAAATGGGAGACAGGGCCCGTTCTGATTATAGGAGACGGATGCGGTAGCCTTGAGCCCCTGATTTTTAGAAAAAAATAGGTGTCGCCAAATAATGTTTTCTACTCTTTATGTACATAGATATACTAGTCATAATATTGATGATATTTAAAATTTATAAATGAATATACAATTTCAATAACTGAAATGTTAAATGTCGTTTCACTTTTACTAATGTTGTTTTGATATCGAACCTGATTTTGACATATTTCTATTTTGATTTTGGCGAAATTCGAAACACGAAAACTGTAGTCCTTTGAGTTAGCTTTCTAATCCAACTTAAATCCGCTAGATTGGATGCCGTGTGACAAAGTTATGCATGAATGAGTCACATTTGAATTTTAGATACCTCAATACATCAAAGTTGTGGGCAGTATCCATTGATTCATGTATATATTTCTCGTCCAACATCCAATTTTTGTGATTCGAGTTGGATTAGAAAACTAACTCAAAATGCTACAAATTCTCTTTTTCGTGTTTTACAAAATTTGGAATTAAAAATGATCAAAATCACGTTTGAAGTCGTAATGGTATTATTAAAGCTCGAACGACATTTATCACATCCCTTTGAATAACCATATCTATATTATTTTACATAGTTTAAGTATTTGTTGGAATTTTTTACACTTATTCTAGCATTTGATATGAATGAAATGTCTTAGATCAATTACAATTATTAGTAAAATATTGATTTCTTCTATCAAAATTTTATAACTTCCAGCGATCTTTGCATTTTTTAATAACTTCATAGAGTTTTGGCAAGTTGAAATATACTATTTTTAATTTTATTGTATTTAAACAAAGGTTACATATATTTACTTGTTCAATAACATTTTTGTACTATTTTCAAAATAAATTCGGGGCTCTACTCCGAACGCCATAAACTTTTCATTTACCTTAACTTCGTCAATATTTTAGTCATATTTCTCCCAAAATTCTTAACTTCTAATAAAAAAATCTTGTCCAGTCGTGCTCGTTAGAATGAATTAATGTGTATATTATACAATACAAATAGGGGGCCATTTTTTACAAATTCTTCAAACTCGCTTAGGACCTCCAATTTCTCAAGAACGACCCTGATGGGAGAACAATTGAAATGCATATGTGGCGGCATGTCACAATGTGAATAACCCAAATTGAAATCCAACGATCCACTTCCTAAATGCATGTTCCCACAATGTGTTGTCTTTGTCTCCATTTACCAACATATGTAATAATTTGAAATTACATGGCTAGAGGATTACTATGCGCCATATGGAGGAGTAAAAATACATCATTCTCATTGAGTTTAACGTTGAGATTTACTAAAAATCACTTGGTATGGATGCTATCGGGTAGATGATTCTGGAAATTCGATTTCTCCATCCCTCCCTCCACCCCACACCTCACCGTCGGGATACACACACCAAAATAAAAAATAAAAAATTACACTTACAACAATTTTATATTAGTTTTTGGAACGAAATAGGAATTAGTTTTTCATTTTCGAAGAATCATTTTTCTTTTCGGAAGTGATGATTCTGATGGTACATAAATGGTGAGTTAACTTGTTCTGAAATTACTTTTCAAGCCACTACATTTTTTATGATTCAAAAATTTACCCCATTAAACTACACTAGAGTAGAATGATTGGTTGGATAGGAGGTAGCCAATAGATTGGGAGTTGGGACAAAATTAACACCCACATGTTTGTTGGGGTTGTCTAGGGTCCGAGAGGGGTTGTACTACTCGGACCCAAACGATTTAATCTGGTGCGTAAAAAATATTTAGTAAATATTTATAGTCGTTGATTTAAAGTACGAACTAGTACGACCCAGTACGAACCTATGAATTTATAAATTAAAGTACGAACCGAGTAAAAATAGATCGTACAAAGGTCGTACTCCATCGTACTTTATGTAAAATTACTTTATTAACCTTATATTATTTAACCAGAGAATTAAAAGTAGGATTAATTGTACTTTGCCCCTAACTTTGGTCATTTTTGCTCTTTGCCCCCCAAATAAAAAAAAAATTCCACGATAATACCTCGACCAACTTATTTAGCCCAATTTCACCAATTAACCAATTTTTGACCATAATTTCAATTTTGACCCCAATTTTGACTCGCCACCACCGGAGACCGCCAGAGACCCACAGTCTCCGGCGTTGACTCTTTTTTTCTTCAAATTTTTTTTTGTTTGAAATTTTTTTCCGTTAGCTCAATCGCAGGGTCTCCGGCTTTGATTTTTTTTTTTTCTTTTAATTTTTTTTTTCTAAAAAAAACTATTTTAACTAATATTAACGTATTAGCTGTTAAATTACTGTCTCCAGCAGTTATTTAACTGTCGGAGAGAGTAATTTAATGTTAATTAACCTTTTTTTCTTAAAAAAAATATATTAATTAATATTACTATCTTGACTGTTAAATTACTGTCTCCACAGTTATTTAACTGTTAATTGATTTTTTTTTCTTACAAAATATTTTAATTAATATTACTGTCTTGCCGGCTAAATTACTGTCTACAACAGTAATTTAACTGTCGGATACAATAATTTAAATGTTAATTGACTTTCTTTTTTGAATTTTTTTTTCTTAAAAATAATATTTTAATTAATATTAATGTCTTGGCTCAAAATTACTGTCTCCAACAGTAATTTACATGTCTGAGACAATAATATTATTGTATTAATTAATTTTATCGTCTTGGCCTGCATTATTGTTGTTTTCGACTGTAATATTATTGTCTTCGACCGTAATATTATTGTCTCAAGCAATAATATCATTGTTTGGGACAACAATATTAGTAATATTACGGTTCGGGAAAATAATATTCATAATATTACTGTCTGAAACAGTAATATTATTGTCTGAAACAATAATATTATTGTATGAGACAGTAATTTAGTAGGCAAGATAGTAATATTAATTAAAATATATTTTTCTAAGAATTTTTTTTTTCAAAAATGAAATAAAAAAAAAGTCAACGCCGGAGAGCGGCAGTCAACTACGGTTGACCGGCCGAAAAAAAAATTTCAGAAAAAAAATGTTTTCAAAAACAAAAAGTTAACGCCGGACACCGCCCGCCCGGTCAACGCCGAAATCTGACCGAAAAAAAAATTTCAGAAAAAAAATTATTTTCTAAAAACGAAATATTTTTTCAAAAAAATATTAAAATGGGGGTTGATGTGATATATTTGTTTAAATTCGGGGTCAATATGTAATATTAAGGAAGTTAGAGTATAATGGATGAAATTGATAAAAAAATATATTATGGAGGGTATTTTAGAGTAAATACATGGTGATGGGTTAATTTGAAAGATTGTTGTTTATGTGGACCAATGTGCATTTAAGTCTCTTGTCATGACCCTAATTATTAATTATTATTAATTGTTACTTAAGTTTTAGTTATAGGGGTTTTAATGTAATTTCATCTATAAGGTAGGTATCGTATTTTTTGTATGGGGTTCGTACAAATTATACGTGTCACATTTTTATTGGTTGATTTTCAATCGTTTGGGTCCGAGTAGTACAACCCCTCTCGGACCCTAGACAACCCCATGTTGGTGTTTATCTTACCGTTCAAAAAGTACAACTATCCTAAAACAACGTGACAAGTTGAATTATCCAACCAGTTGTTGCTTAACTTATGTAAGAAATTACGGTCACACCCCCGAGGTAAATGTTAAATTACGTAAAACCCCCTCATGTTTGGATAATTACACCCATCCCCTCAAATATGAATCTTCTTACACGTCCACCCTTATTGTGTCAAATTCAACATAATCTTCTAGGTTCCATGGAATGTTCGTGTTCGCTAGTTTGTACTCGTTTTATGTAAAAAAACAGTAAATAATGCAGCAAAATCTGATGCTGACAAGCAAATAAACACAATTTATGATCATCTAGTTTCAAAATGTGGAGCTCAAATAGGGTAAAAAGGATACAAACTGGAGAATATTTGACATAATCTAGAAGATTTCACTAAATTTGACACCGTAAGTACTAACGTTTAAGAAAATTCAAAGTTAAAGGGCGATTGCAATTAACCATACTTGATGAGTTTCTTTTCGTAATTTAAACTTTACCGTAATTTACACTAAAGAAAATGCAAATTATTAAGATGAAACGTGCGACCGACATTCACTAAATAAAGTTCCTAACTACCAAGGGCAAAAAGGGAGATCTTTACAGAGTGAGTAGAAGGTGTAGTGAAAAAAGTGTAGTGTGTTTTTTCTCCAAACAATTTCAAGAACTCATTATACTGAAACCCACAAGTTGTACCCGAAGAAGAAGGGATGACTAATTTCTCATATTTCAAGAGGATTTTCCATGGCCAACATCTTTCTTCACCCAAGCTTTTGGCTCTCTGCTCTATCAGGTTTCCATCTTGTAATAATTATTACATCGTTTCACACCTTCTCTTGCATTTTGCTATCTAGGTTTTGTGTCTGATTTTTTCTTGATTTTTTGTGTCTGATTTTTGTGTTTTTGTGTTTTTGAATTTTTTTGGATGCGTGTGCTAAATGATATATGAATTATGGTGTGGGCTGAATAAATTACATTGGAGAAGTTTCTTGATTTTGATTTTTCATCATCTATGTTTGACCACATTGATTGTGGGTAGTTAGTTACAACAGAATATTCCTTTTCTTGATTTTTATACAGTAGTGGAGGCCTCATTGCATATGCAGATTCTCCCTCAGATGTGGTGGGAGAATCGAAAACCTCGGTGAATAATCAAATCGAAACTAAACGGAGAAAGAGGGTTTTAGTTCTCGGTACGGGATGGGCCGGAACTAGTTTCTTGAAAGATCTAGATATCTCTACTTACGATGTTCAAGTCATTTCGCCTAGAAATTACTTTGCATTCACCCCTTTATTGCCTAGTGTCACTTGTGGAACTGTCGATGCACGAAGCATCGTAGAGCCGATTCGAAACATTATTAAAAAGGTAAACCATTTTTTATTTTTTTTGCTTCATCGGTGCCTTCTCGAGGATTTGCATTTAGTTTTATGTGTCTTCAAATTTTTTTAGTTTTCAGTAGAAATCATGGAATCCGTTTCTTTAATACTCTTTCTGTTCCGTAATAAGTGTCGTTTAAGGTTTTTATGCATACAGTAGAACCTCGATAAATTAATAACCTCGCTTAAATAATAATTTCTTCAGGTCCCGACTCAGTAAAAACATACTAAATTATAGTTGGATAATTTAACATTTCACTGAATTAATAGAATTTTGTCAGTCTCCGGACTGTATTAATTTATAGAGGTTTAACAGCTGTATTAAGAAAGTGAAAAAAAAGGACTAAAATAACCTTTACCATTTTAATGTGGTGATAAGATCGATAGAGTTAATGCTTAATAGAGTTGGATTAATAATGGTTAAAAGGGATAAAATCCATTATCGGAACTCTAAAGAAATAGATAATACGGAACACAAAAGACTTTATCTACATAGAACATATGATATGTAACGGAGGGAGGATTATGCTTTATGTATATTGAAAGTTTTTATTTCATAAATATCCCGACAGAGAGACGGGGAAATTAAGTACTGGGAAGCAGAATGCCTCAAAGTCGACCACGAAAGCAAAAAGGTGTTATGCCGCTCAAATATCGATTCGAATTTAGTTGGTAGTAACGAGTTCTCTTTAGAGTACGATTATTTGGTTATAGCCATTGGAGCGCAAGTCAACACATTCAATACTCCCGGCGTATTGGAGCATTGTCATTTTCTAAAGGTACCACTTATCCCAACTTACTAAAAGAAATAAAAAACGAATATGTTTGTTAATAAATTTTTTAGTTACGATGAATAGTAAATTCCGTGCAGGAAGTAGAAGATGCTCAGAGGATTCGAAGGACTGTAATAGATTGTTTCGAAAAGGCTGTTATTCCTGGTCTGACCGATGAAGAGAGAAAGACGAATCTCCATTTCGTAATAGTTGGAGGTGGGCCCACGGGCGTAGAGTTTGCTGCGGAGCTTCACGATTTCGTTCATGAAGATTTGGTTAATTTATATCCGTCGGTCAAAGATCTAGTCAGCATATCGGTTATTCAATCCGGTGACCATATCTTGAACACGTAAACCCATGCGTAGTGTGTGTGTATATATATATATAAAATCAGTAAAAATCTAATTTTTTTTTATTATCCGAATTGTATATAAATTGCGAATGTGATAGTGATAATGGGTTTGTGTGTAGGTTCGACGAAAGGATTAGCTCGTTTGCCGAAGAGAAATTCCAACGAGACGCGATTCAAGTGTTGACGGGGCACCGTGTGTTGAGTGTTTCGGAGAGAATGATTGACATGAAAGCAAAATCGACGGGGCAGAATGTTTCTATACCTCACGGTATGGTAGTGTGGTCGACCGGAGTTGGCACTAGGCCAGTTGTCAAAGACTTTATGGAACAAATTGGCCAGGTATATATATTACATATATTTGTTATCTATTTGTCTATGTATTATGGCCTCGTTTGGTTGGTAAGATTAATAGCCAATTTAATAATTGGATTTTATTGGATGTTTGGTTAGTCAAATAACTTTTCGGCCCGGCCCGCAGGCACTTGTGGAAAAAAACCACTCTAACTTTTCGGCCCGCCCGCATGTTTCAACAATACAATTGGACACAAGATTATTTATTTCATAAGATTATTTAATATTATCTTGGCTAATCTTATTTGAGCAACCAAACGAGGCCATATCTGTATTGGTGCATTATTGTCGATAGTTTGGAATACGTTTCTTTAGTATAACTGCATTCTTTATGCCTCGTTCAGATCAACATTTAGAAAGCCCGTTAAAACAATATAGTTATTTATTGTCTGTGTTTTTTTTTTTATTATTTTTTATTCAGGGTTACAGACGAATTCTGGCAACCGACGAGTGGCTGCGAGTGAAGGGGTGTGATGACGTGTACGCGCTCGGTGATTGTGCCACTGTAGATCAAAGAAAAATCATGGTATAATTTACATAATTTACTTTATATATGAGTGGGGATGCATTTAATTTTTTCAGCATATAATTTTTTTTTAATCGATTTTTCAGGAAGATATATCGACCATATTTGAAGCTGCGGATAAGGACAATTCGGGTACGTTAACTGTCGAAGAATTCAAAGAAGTGATTGAAGATATCATCATACGATACCCTCAAGTGGAACTATATTTGAAGAACAGGCATCTATTTGACGTAACCGATTTACTAAAAGACGTAAACGGAAAGGATAGAGAAGAAGTTGACATCGAAGGGTTTAAGTTAGCATTATCAAATGTCGATAAACAGATGAAGAGCCTCCCCGCTACTGCTCAGGTTAGCAAAGCGTACTTCGATTTTAATGTCTCTTTATTTCAGTGATCATTTTATTTTATTATATTTTTTATTTTTTTAATTTTTATTAGGTTGCTGCTCAACAAGGTGCATACCTTGCTAAGTGCTTTAATAAACGGGAGAAGTGTAAAATCGAGCCGGAGGGCCCGCGCAAGTTTGGAAGTGATGGTCGTCATGATTTTCGCCCTTTTCAGTAGGCCTTTTTTTTCTTTGATTTCTTTACTCAATATCTCTCTCTCTCTCTCTCTCTCTCTCTCTCTCTCTCTCTCTCTCTCTCTCTCTCTCTCTCTCTCTCTCTCTCTATATATATATATATATATATATATATATATATATATATATATATATATATATAGGGAAAATTGCACATCACCCCCTGTAAATTTCTAATTTTCGCACTTTACCCCCTCAATTTAAAAAGAAATGAATTTCCCCCTTCAAAGTATTATTCTTGTTGCACATTGCCCCGATAGCAAAATTCTAATGGATTATTCATCGGAATTGAGGATTTTTGTTGCACAATGCCCCTTTAAATGTTATTTATATTGCACGTTGCCCCTTAAGAACACTACTTTTTTGCACATTGCCATTTAAAATGTTATTTTTGTTGCACAATGCCCTCCAAAAATTGGCTGATGGGGCAAAGTGCAATCAATATAATATTTCGAAGGGGGAATATCAACTTTTTTAATTTTTAGGGGGGAAAGTGCGAAAAAAAGAAATTTATAGGGGGCAAAGTGCATTTTGTCCATATATAAATGATGTGCCTTGAAAAACAGGTACAGACATCTAGGGCAATTTGCACCACTGGGAGGGGAGCAAACAGCTGCGGAACTGCCGGGCGATTGGGTTTCCATGGGTCGAAGTACGCAATGGCTTTGGTATTCCATTTATGCAAGGTCAGTATTATTAAGGCCTCGTTTGGTTCTTAAGACAAGTCATCCTTGTTAGTCCATACTTTTCGGAATAAGCTCTTTATCTTGGTCCTCCAATTAGGCCTCGTTTGGTTGCCAAGTTTAGATTAAATAATCTAATGAAATCCAATTGTATTACTGGACTTTGGAAGGTCCAATAAAAAACCAAACATCAAACAAAGTCCAACTATTTAGTAACCAAACGAGGCCTTATACAATTGAGTTATCACAAGATTGCTGAATATATATTTTCTTTGATTACCTTATCTTGACAACCAAACGAGACCTAAGTACCTATTACAGGCTCGCATTAAGCATTTAAGATGATTTATTTATACGGGGTTTGCATTTTTCTACGTGCAGTAAGCAAGTGAGCTGGCGAACGAGATTTCTAGTCGTTGGTGACTGGTCAAGGAGATTCATGTTCGGGAGAGATTCGAGTCGTATATGAAATAAAAGGCTGTGATTTTATTATTGCTTATTAGTGTCTCTCTCTCTCTTTCTTGTACATGAAGATTTAATGTGTATAAGTAAAATTGTAAATGGCCTTGCTGGCAAAATTATGGGCTATTCCAAACTTTCTTGTTTCATGTTCAAATTTTCTATGGAGCTTTAAGAATTGTGTTTGAGTTTCGTCTTCATTAGCAATCGAAACAAGTTCGATTAGTTTGAATTTTTATAGATATTTTATTATGTTTACTGTCCTTCGTTGATGTTTATGTGCAATCGTCCAATTGTGTTTCTAAGGACTCGGGACTGAGACTGCTTTTATGTTGGATCTAAAATATTGTTTATCATACTAAATGCTTGTTCGACCGCAACGGCGAAGACCCTCTATTGCCTGAAAATAGGTTGTTGGATGCACTGTATTTCGGTAATTGAAACGGAAAATCTTATTCTAAAATCGAAAATTTTCAGATCGGAATCGGTATAATTCAGAATTCTCACTTTTATAATCATATAATACAAAATACATAACAAATGATAGGGTAAATTACAATCAACTCCTTGAGATATATCATAATAACTTTAAGGTCCTTGTGGTATTCATAATTACAAACACCACCTGAAATTAACGAACGTTAGAAATCCTAACATCAGGGGTGGATGTAATTACAAATATTACATGGACTTTAAAGTTATTATATCATAACTCATGCGATAAATGTAACATTTTTGACATTATATAAATAATTAATAATTCTAATGTTTTAAACCTGTTTTTCAAGTCGTTGGGTAATTGCCACGGGTTTTTCTTTCCATAAGAATTTTTCACCAGTGCGGCTTGGTTTGCCCACAAAACCAAGCCGTTCCTTGCTTTCTCGGATTAACACTCCTAATGCATGCCCAACACTCGACCACTCATCACCCATTTCTTGGCCATGACTCGGCTACACTCGAGTCATAGTTGATGTCCTCATCTAAGGGCTAACAAACCTTCTCCATCAAAGGTGTTCGACGCCCTCGTCGAACCAAAAACATAAGCTTCAGCTTTCCCTCTATTCCACTTGTCTTGCCATTGTGCTTGATCAACAACACAACTTTCAAACCCAAGTCCCAAGTCTGATCCAACGAATTTCCCACAAACTCTTTCGGCCCTCGGTAAAACGAATGCAGACCACGTTCAAACAATAGCACCCCACAATCTACATCAAGTGAAAATACTAGTTTTTAGCACAATTAGCTTTTTATCTCGATTCCAACACCAATCAAGAAAGGAAACTTCTAAGGGATTCCCTTGAAATCCTTGACATATCCACTCACAGTTCCTTTACGCTTCAACTGTCTAGGGATTCCCTTGAAATTCGGTCAACGTTGCAAGGAAGGAATTGCTCTTTCAATTCCCTTTTGAGCGCATCCCAAGTCTCAATCTTTCACTTGGTTGGCCCTCACAGCGTCTAACAAACGAGCACCCCACCCCAAATGTGCATCACCCACTAGATCGATACATATTTGTGATGGCCACCTTCTCGCGATCCAGAACCTTTGTGTCTCGAAGTACATCTCCATATCCCACACGAAGTTATCAACTTCCTTGGCACTGCGGACACCATGAAACGCAGTCGGTTCCAGCACATGAACCTTGGACCCCGACGTTCTGCCCTCATAACTTGGTGCCTCATTTCGAATTGCCCTTTTCAGCACCATCAAGTTCGTAAGCATGCTTTCAAGCTTTGTCTCAACAACATCAAAGAGGCAACGGACAGAAGTCTGCTCTCCACAAATATGGGCAGATCATCCAGCGATCTTGCCAAACGGCCGAACTCTCGCTGCCCTTCAACAAGCCATTGCAAGATTGGTGGATCCAGAGTTGCCCAACCAGGGCTTCAATACGTTTCAACCTTGTATCCATCTCTAACACCATTAGGATTTGGATTAGTGAAAGATCATGAATCTTCTTCAGCTATACCGACTGGCAACACGTTCAGAACCCATGAACTGGGCTCTGATACCAAATATCACAGAGGTTTCTTTCCACAAGATTTTTTTCTCCCGTGCAGCCTGTTGTTCAGACAAAACCAAGTCGTTCCTTACTTTCTTGAACAAACACCCCAAATGATTACCCAACACTCGACCATACTCATTGGCTGATGTGTGATTGTCTTATGCCAACCTTCACTCAACATCCATTTCTCGACCATGACTCAGCCGTCATATCCAATGTCTTCGTCTAAGGACTAACAATAATTCTAATGAATGAAAAAAGTGTCCAATTTTTACTTCAAGTTATTATAGCATACATGATTAAGTGTTTTTAATTAAATTTCAAGCTTCATGTTTTAACTGATGGGACTCTAATAATTTTAAAAAATAAATAAAAATTGGACCAATTTTTTTGTTCATTCATCACAATTACCCACCTCTAGGGCTCTAACGACTATAAAGAAATGGTCTAAAAATTAGAATTTTTTATTATTTAAAATTATTCAAAATATTAGATTAACCCACCGAGATATGATATAATGAATTTAAAGTTCCTGTGGTATTCAGAATTCAACCACTACCGACGTTAGGGTTTCTAATGTTCCATTGGTTTTAGGGGGAGCTTGTATAATTATCAACAGAACAAAGACCTTAAACTTATTATAGCAAACTGGCTGGTTGTAATATATCCCAAATGATATTATAATTTATAAGTGTTACTTTCGATAAAAACCCGGAATTTTCAGAAAATATATATTTTGAAATCGAAAATTGAATTGAAAATTGGAATCTAGTGTATTCAATTGTATTAAAAAAAGAAAAAAGGAAAAAATGGAAATCGGGAACTTTCGGAAATCAAAATGGAAAAATTTCTCCGAAAATAAATAAAAAATATTTGTGTCTCAATCGACGGAATTAAAAAATTATGTTCCAATTTCCTACCATAATTTAATGGAAGGCTGTTTTTGGTTTCTCGGAATTTTTTTGAACAAAGCTAAGAGTAGTTACGTATTTTTAATTTTTCATTAAAAAATTATGATTTCCAAAAAATCAGACCTCTTGATATTCCAACGGACGTGGACACCCGTCCGATTAAAGTCTCTTCACAGCGAAGACCCGAATCCCACGGCCATCAAACAACTTTTCCTCCTCACAAATAGAAAACCAACCCTCCACAAACGTACACGTGTCCACCCCCAAAAAACCTCGTTAACGTGACTGCTACTCCACATAATTTTCACCCCAAAAATAGCTGCCCTTCTAGACCTAAAAAAAATAAATAATTCAATTCATTATTACTTCCCATGTAACGCCCAGAAAACTTCAATACAGTATACATTCGCCGCCGTCTAGAAATAAAAGTATATATATATATGAAAGTGTGAAAGTTTTTCTGAACTAGGGTTTGTATTTTTGTTTTTGCAATAATAATATTATTGCAATAATGAGTGCTTTCAGACAATTTTACCAGAGAGCTTCAAATGCTTACAGCAGCAACCCTCGTCTCTATAAATTGCTTGTTATTACAACCGTCAGGTTTAATATTTCTTCTCCACTTGTTAATTTTTCCATTTTTGTATTAATTTTCGGTTTGTTTATACGGTTTCGATTCGTCTTATGTTTTCCGGGCTATTTAGGTTTTGAGACAATAACTTTTTTTGTACTGTTTTTATTACAGTATTGTAGATGCTACATCTGATAAAACACATTCAGTAGTATTACACTGTAGATCTACACGTAAACTCGCAAGTCATTCATTTTTGGCTCGTTAACCGTATTCGATTAGTCTTGCAATATTTGTAGGCTTTTTATTTCTAAAAAAACCAAAAAGAAAAAAAAAACACAATAAGATTTAATTAGTTTATGTTGATATTGTTTTGTCATGATTCGGATCGACTTTATTATTGTTGTTTTTAACTATTTTGGATCAATTTCATTTAGCATTGCATAAATTTTTCGGTCAAGTAAGTTCAGATTTTTCATTTTTTTTATATTTTATATTTAGGAGCTTTAAAATGGGTTGTGGATACATGTTCGATAAATCTTACAATATTATTAGGCTATTTATTCCTCCAAAAAAAAAAAAGAAAATTACAAGACATGAAAAATTTGTACCAACGTTCGATTAGTGTATGTTGATATTGTTGCTAATGGTTTTCGATAAATTTCTTCTGATTTAAAAAAAAAAAATCATTTCACAAGTATTTCAGTTAATTAATTACATAAAAAAATATTTTCCTCTTAGTAATTTTTATTAGTAATTTTTATTTGGGAGCTTCAATTTTCAAAATTTACTATTCTTAATATTTTCGAAATATTTGTGCAGTGGTGGAGGGCTACTTGCAATCTCAAACAGCAGTGCATTTGCCGATGCAAGTCAAGTTGACGTGAAGAAGAAGAAAGTTGTTGTTCTCGGAACAGGTTGGGCCGGGACAAGCTTCCTTAAAAACTTGAAAGATCCTTCGTATGAAATTGAGGTTGTCTCTCCGAGAAACTACTTTGCTTTCACTCCTTTGTTGCCTAGCGTTACTAATGGCACCGTCGAAGCACGTAGCATCGTCGAGCCGATTCGCAACATTGTCCGAAAGGTACGTCTGTACAAATATAGAATTGGAATAAATATAAATTCATTGTGTTTTTTTGGATTTTCTTTTCATTATTGAATTATGTTTTGAATAGTTAGGTCTCTCGCAATTAGAATTAGACTCATTTGAAATCCTTCTGCGTAATTGTGCCGTCGAATCCAAATAATCATAATACAATTTTAAGAAAGTGTAACATTAGTGACAAAACTATGGTGACAAATATCGAATATTCTTGTTAATGCTTATATTACGTGACAGTATTTTGTGCTTTGCCACCTGTAATTTCTTTTGTTGTCATCGATTTAAGTTTGATTCTCGCTGTATTGAATTAGCGATATAGCTGCGTAGACAAACTTTGTGATAAAAAATTTCATACTTCATGATTAGAAATGTTGTCAACTCTTGTATAGTGTATTCATATTAGGTGATATTATCTTGTGTTTTCACCTCTAGCTAGTTGCTTTTGTTTGTCACCATATTGAATTAGTAACTTGTAGTGACAATATTGTGACAAAAAATAATAAGTTTTGTCGATGTGTTTGTAAAAGCTTTTAAAAAAGTAGAAGTTGGTGATTCTAACTTAAGTTAACAATAAATGCTTATTTTTAAAAGTTGTGTGTTTTTGCAAACTCTCAGCAATTTATTTTAGGAGACGTTGGTGCAGAGGTGCTTTTGTTATTTAAGCTTAAAACAGCTTATGTTTAGAGAAGTAGCAACAAAATTTGATATTGCAAACACTTCACAAGTGCTTTTGAGCCTAGAAAAATTCATAATCACTTTTCAAAAACTTTTGCAAACACCACCTTAGTAACACTTTATTTTAAACACTATTTCATATCATTATCAAAATTGAAGGAAACTATAGAACATCAAACACACTGCACCAACTCATGTTAATCAATCATTCTTTATGATAATTGCAGAAAAAGTTTGATGTTCAATTCAAAGAAGCCGAGTGCTACAAAATCGACACGGTAAACAAGAAGGTACACTGCAAATCCACACAGGACAACAATTTAGGCGGGACCGAAGAATTCACAGTCGATTACGACTATCTCGTTATAGCAATGGGTGCTCGTGTCAATACCTTTAATACCCCTGGCGTCGTTGAGCATGCACACTTTCTCAAGGTAAAAAAAAAAAGAAAAAAAAATCATTCTTAGAATTAATAACAAGAATCACTTCTAGAGTTTGATCTATTTATAAATTTAACAAAATAATAAAATAATTTTTTTATTCCTTTTCAGGAAATAGAGGATGCACAGAGAATTCGAAGATCTGTGATCGACTGTTTCGAGAGGGCGAGTCTTCCGAATATAACCGAAGAGGAAAGGAAGAGGATTCTTCACTTTGTTGTTGTTGGAGGTGGGCCCACAGGGGTCGAGTTTGCCGCAGAGCTTCACGATTATGTGATCGAGGATTTGGCCAAACTTTATCCTGCACTCGAAGAACACGTCAAAATCACTCTTCTCGAAGCTGGCGATCACATTTTGAACATGTAATTTTTTTTTTTTAATTATATTCATGTACGAGATTTTTTATTTTATTTTTAAAATTGTATTTTTGTTGCACAGGTTTGACAAGAGGATTACGGTTTTTGCGGAAGAGAAGTTCCAGAGGGACGGTATAAACTTGAAAGTTGGTTCGATGGTGACAAAGGTTAGTGAAAAGGAGATATGTACTAAAGAGAGAGCCACTGGACAAACTGTATCTATACCGTATGGAATGGTTGTCTGGTCCACCGGTATAGGAACTCGACCCGTTGTCATGGATTTCATGAAGCAAATTGGACAGGTCTCTCTCTCTCTCTCTCTCTCTCTCTCTCTCTCTCTCTCTCTCTCTTAAGACGTATTTTATAGCTTTTAAATAATACGTGTTTCTTAATCTCTCTCTTGGAATTCAGACAAACAGGAGAGTTTTAGCAACTGATGAATGGCTTAGGGTTGAAGGATGCGACGACATCTACGCTTTAGGTGATTGTGCCACGATAAATCAACGTAGAGTCATGGTATGTTCTTTCTTTTTTTTCCTTTTCGAATTATTTCAAGATTTCATTACACATTATAAGTTTCGACACAATGTAGATTAATATTTGGGTAAATTACATCCACCTCCCCTGAGGTTACGACAAGTTACACCCAGACCCCTCATGTTTCGAAAATTACATATTTTATCTCCCTTGAGGTTTTGTTCCATCCATAAACCCAACCAAAATGCACCAATTGACAATTTTATCATAACCATAATTCTTATTTTTATTTTATTTTTTTATTTTAAAAAAACTACTGTCTAAGGGCCAGGGAGAGAGTCGTCATTTCTTTTCGCAAAAACGATTGAATTTCAATTCCGATTGGTTTGGACTTGTATTTTTCGATATTTTTTTATTTTTATTTAAATGAAGTCTAAAAGGATAAAAATGATGATAAAATTGATAAAAAGAGAATCACAATCATTTTTTCGTTGAGATCACCGTTCTCAGGTAGTAAATTGTTGGCTGGAACCAAACCTGAAGGAATGTATATGTAACTTTCCAAACTTGAAGGGGTTTAGTTGTAATATAACCTAACCTCAGGGCACTACGTGTATTTTACCCATAGTATTTTTGTTCGTTACTTGATAAAAAAAACGGGGGGACTGAATTTCGGATATAATATTACCAGGAGGATATTTCGGCCATCTTCAACAAAGCAGACAAGAAAAACACGGGTCGACTTAAGGTTGACGATTTTAAGGAAGTGATAAACGACATATGCGAGAGGTACCCACAGGTGGCAATTCATCTGAAGAAGAAGCAGCTTAAGAACTTCAATAATCTCCTAAAAAATTCACAAGGAGACGATGAGCTGGACATTGAGAAATTCAAGCTCGCACTTTCCGAAGTCGATTCGCAGATGAAAAATCTCCCCGCAACTGCACAGGTAATACAACAAAAAAAAAATTAAAAAAACAGATTCATCGGATTTTGGCCTAGAATATTATACTATTTAAAAAAATTATAAAAAAAACTCGTAATTTTTTAATTTTTTTAATCTTGTTTTATTAGGTGGCTGCACAACAAGGGGAATATCTGGCTGAGTGTTTCGATAAAATGGATGCATGTGAGAAGAATCCGGAAGGTCCATTGAGGTTCCGAGCAACAGGAAGGCATCGTTTTCATCCATTCAGGTACAGAGCTAATATACAGTAGTAGAACCTCGATAACTTAATACTCGATAAATTAATAACCTCGATTAAATAATAGTTTCTCTCGGTCCCGACTCGGTGAAAACGTGTTAAATTATTAACTTGATAATTTAATGATTCGCTGAATTAATAGAATTTCCCTAGTCCCGACTGTATTAATTTATAGATGTTTAAATGTTGTAATACTACGATAAGTTCTTGATTTATGATGTGGAATCCAAAAACAAACAAAAAGAGACTGGAACGAAATCCAAAAAGTTCCGATTTTGGAAAAAGAAATTTTGTTCTAGTTGTGTATCTAATTAAATTTCTGAAAATATTCTAAAATTTCCGATTATTTTTTCCAAAAAGTATATATAAGATTTTGACTGCATGGTGATCGAAGGTACCAACATTTTGGGCAATTTGCTCCATTGGGTGGAGAACAAACTGCGGCTCAGCTCCCCGGCGACTGGGTTTCAATAGGTCACAGCACACAGTGGCTATGGTACTCCGTCTATGTCAGGTAACAACAAACTATCTCCGCACAAAAATAAATAAAATAAAATAAATGTGTATATAGTTTAATCATACTTACATTGTCCGAAATATTGCCCCTTAACAATGCAGTAAGCTAGTGAGCTGGCGCACAAGAATGTTGGTTATCTCCGACTGGGGAAGGCGTTTCGTATTCGGTAGGGACTCGAGCAGAATCTGAGTCAAAAATCCGATCCCCTGCACATCGAGTTTTTAAGGAAAAGAATTTTCTCATGCCATTTACCTTCAGTATGCTACTTGACAGCACAAAACTTCGTTGAACCGTAGTTCATAAATTTTAATGTAGGATTTATTATGTTCAGTTAAAGAATTTCCGGTAGTTGTTTTACTAAGATATAGAGATTTGGTGCATAAGGTTTTTTATCTTATTTTTTGAATTTTTTTTTCTCCAATCAATGCATACAAATGTTTAGCAACTATGTTATATGCCCTAACAGACATCCTTCATGTTTGTGTAATTACAACCACCCCTCAACTACGAATCTTCTTACGCGTTCAACATTGCGGTGTCAAAATATTCTCCAGTTTGTACCCGTTTTATCCTATTCGAGCTTCACACTTTGAAATAGATTATGTTGAATATTCTCCAGTTTGTACCCGTTATACCCTATTTGCGCTTCACACTTTGAAATAAGATGATCATAAGATGTGTCTCTTGGCTTGTAAATATCAGATTGTGGTGCATCAAAAACTGCATTTTTGCACAAAACGAGTACAAACTAGAGAACATTCCACAGAATCTGGAAGATTCTGTTGGATTTGACAGTATACGACTGGACGTGTAAGAAGATTCATAGTTGGGGGTTCGTTGTAATTACCTAAACAAGAGGGGGTTTTTCGTAATTTAACCTTATCTCAGGAGTGACCGTAATTTAACCAACAATACATTGTAACTTTTAGATCAACTACTATAAGGTTCTTGTCAAAAACAATACATTGTAACTTTTAGATCAATTCTTGAAACCAATGTTTAATCCATAAAAAAATCAAAGTCAACGTAAACTCTACAACAAGAAGACGAGATACTCGATAAACAATTTACCCGGCACCGGAAGCTCTTCGATTCTGAATAAAGAGGCTCGGCAAATTATAGCATTATGCACTATCCGTTCTTGTATCGGAAATCTCTCGGAACGAATTTTCGAGGGAGTTTATTCATCTCCATAGACAACTTTAAAGCCGACTCCATTTTTCCCATCTTCTTCAAACTGAAAACCAGCGCTCGGTAGATATAAATCGAAGGAACAATCCCCTTACATTTCATGTAATCAAACACTTTCATGGCTTCAACAATGTTTCCCGATCTGCCTAAGCTCTCGATCAAATCTTTAAAAGTCAACAAATCGGGTTGAATTCCTCTCACAGTCATCTCCTTGAAATGAACCAAGCACAAATCCAATCTACCCATTTTCCGCAGACTATTCAATACGGTATTATACGTGAAAATATCCGGAATAAGATCGACCGATTTCATAACATCAAACACACGCAGCATTTCATCGACTCTGCCGAGACGACCCAAAATCGCCAAAACGGTGTTGTATGTGACCAAGTCCGGTTCGCAATCCAGAGTCGGCATTTTATCGAACACCATCAATGCGTGGTGAACGTATCCACATTTCCCCAAAGCGAATATAAGTCTGTTCAAAATTACTACCCTCGATTCCATTTCGCAAACTTCTCTAACGAAATTCAGTAATGCGGAAGGGTCGGTGCGCTTTCCGAAAGCTCGAGCGAAGATAAGATACGAATTCGATTCTATAGAACCGTAAGAAACGAGAAGATCCTTGAAAATTCGGGAGAGCGTTTCGATGTCGTTGTTTCTATCGGCATCTTCTAGAAGGTAATTGTACGCACGAGGGCCGATGAAAATGTGCTTACTGCGTAGAATCTGGGGTAATCTAGAAGCTTCTAGAAGATTTCCGGCGGAGCAGAGGTTGCGGATATAATCGATACATATTTCTTCTCTAGAAACATCAGAAGCAAGGATTTGGTTAAGGGTTTCTTCAACTGAAACTTTTGTCGAAAATGGTTTCCGAATTGAATTAATCGAAACCCTAGATACTCTAATGGGGATGTACTTCATAAAGGTTTGTACCAGAGATGTAGACATTTGTTTATGAGAGTTGATTGATCGGCAAAGCAATAAAATCAGAGTAACTATTTCACTGGCTAATTCGACCCACAACACTCAATAATCAATATCCGATAGATACCTGGTGGCGCCGACGCGGCGGAGGCGGCGGTGGAGGTGGAGGTGGCGGCGAGGAATTAGAAGGCAATGGGAGAAGAGAAGAAAGAAAATGGAGATTATTAAGTTTTTGACATGTGACGTGTTTTATTAATTAATTTTGGACTGTCACCAGATTTTTATAGTTAATTTTGGGTAATTTGTTAATTTTCTCAAACAAATGTAGTGAAAGTCTAAATTCACCGTTAATTAAATATCGGTTTTATGTTGAATCGAGAGAACCGATAGATGAAACCGATACAAAAAATAAACCGAATTGATATCAAAATCGTTAACCGAAAATCGAAGAACCGATTAACACCGAACCGGAAAAAACCGACATGTTTGGTCCTTAAAATATGAAAAAGTGATATTATCGGCACGTGTTTGGTTTATTGCAAAAATTGAGCCGTACCGACCCGTGCACACTCCTACTATTTTTTGAAATCAAAATTTTGAAATCCATTAATCCCTAAAAGCAAGAATTTGAAACTATTAACTAAAAGTACGAATTATTTGAATTTACCGAAAACCATTATGAAATTAACATAAAGTTCATTATAAAAATAACTTATTCACTATAAATAGTGAATTTAATGAATGGAAATGTCAAAATCCACAATCCACAATAGTGGATTTAATAATGAAATGTCAAAATTTGAAATCCATTAATCACGGAAAGCCAGAGTTTTGGAACTATTAAAGTAAGAATTATTTGAAACTTATCGAAAACCATTATGAAATTTTTGACCTATTAGGGATAACTCCCTAATAATCCCTAAATTATATTTCATCAAAAAATGGACATTGACTAAGAAAGTTGTGGTTGCTTGACAGGTTAATTACTGTAAACCACGTTATAATCCTTACTAACGAAAAAATATCGAAATTTTCATTGACACTTTGACAGTGATCACGATTCGTTACAACCGATCAGCAGACACATTATTATTGTTTCGAACTACATAACAACCAAAAAAAAACAGTGACTTGAATGCCCAAATATAATTTATTAGTGATTAAAATGTGATTTTCGTTGGTGATTTTAAATCCATGAAAATTCTAGTTTAGGCAGAACCATCGACGCAAAGCCATTGTCCGACGAAGATTGCGTCGCAGTTGATATTAGGGTTGATATTAATAAAGGCTTGGAGAGATAAATTGAATTCAGTTGCAACGGTTGAGCAAGTTTCACCGGTCACTGCTCCATGCACACTGTTGCATGCTGCTGTTGAATCTTCACTTCCAACTCCAACTGTCAACACACACACACACACACAAAAAAAAAGAATTTATTTATTTATTATATAGAGGTTTATTAAATTAAACAAGGGTAAATAATAACAAATATAATACTTACTGCCGATGTTTATGCCTTGAGAAATAGATATCATGGCAAGAAGACTGAGGATAAGAACCAACTTGAAGTACAAGGTTTTGGTAATAATCTGAGCCATAATTAATTGATTAATGATTTGATTAACTGTAGCTGCTGATAATTAATCTTTAATTTCTGCTGTGAAAAATGATAGTTTGATGAATATATCGATAAGTGACGAAGTACTTATAGCAACTTTTCCTGCATTGGGCCCGCGGGGTTTCGCTTCGCTCCATGATACATTTGTAGCTTGTGCCGTACAAATAGTGTGACTTGCTAACAATGTTCGTTTCTTAATTATTAGTTTATAATTACAATTTGGGAACACCGAGTAGTTTTCGAATATTATTGCCGATCAACTCTTAATTAATTGAGCAAAATGAAATTTAAGTACATGACAAACCAAATAGAAGAAATAAATAAGAATTAATCCAAATTTGGATAAATAATATAATCAAATCAATTGATCAACAATTGAATAATTAACAACAATTTATCTAAATCTATAATAGCTATATTACTCTTAGAAAACATAACTACTTTAATTCATATGAGTTAAAATATAAACCATAGAAGAAACCTGAGAATGAATAAGAATTGATGTAAACGAAGAACATGGAGAATCTGAATCAATGTTGGGTTTTGTTTTCGCTCTTCCGCTATTTGAAAATCTTAATTTTCCACGCGATCTCCTTTTCCTAGTGGTTAGAAAACAATTGATTTACGGGGCAAATTACGGCCACCATGAGGTATTGTCAAATTATGAAAAAAAAAAATTCTCTTATTTGGGTAATTACAGTCATTCCCTCTTTTTATATATTTTTACATAAAACTTATGTAATTCGGTTATTTACCGAACCAAATCGTATATTTAGTTCGGTAAACGGTATGAAATGTTGGAGTTCCGAAATTTCTATTCGGTTTCTACCGAATTAACATCCCTAAATTTATTTTTGCTGAGGTTTTTTCGTAAGATAATACATAGTTGAGAGGATGACTGTAATTACCCAAACAGGAGGGGTGTTTTCGTAATTTAACCATAACTCGAGGGTGGCCGTAATTTGCCCTTAATTTATGAGGCCTTTTCGCCTCATATTATTTGAGATGAAAATTGTCTAAAAATCGTGCAAAATGTGAATAAATACTCAAATCAGGGGTGAGTCCCACTGTTTGGCAAGGGCGGACTTAAGCGCACCCTCAATTTTTTTTTTTTTTTTATTATTATATTACACCTATATTTTGTTTAACCTACTCTATTTTTATTATTTAGCCCATCCAAAATCAAATTAATGCCAAAAATTTATTTTTTTTCTTTCTTTAGTATTTTATGGTTACGTCCTATTTTATACAAAAAATAACAAAAAAATCCTAAATTTTAATCCGTCTATCTTTGGACTCGTCGCTGAGTCAAACACACTCACACTTCATACCGTCTATCTTTTTTGTGAAAACGTGTTGCGATCGTATAAGTCCCAATGCATGTGGAATTCCCCGGATCCAGATGAATGTGGAAAATAAATCTCGAATTGTTGGATTCGGAAATGAGGAACACAACGAACGGATCCACCAATTTCCTAACATATTTCCTAACAAATAGATGAAATAATTCTTTAATTAGAGTGACTTAATATCTACAAGAATTATATATAATCCTACGTTAGCAAAAAAAAAAAAAAAACAAAAAAAAATTCAGTTCCGGGATTAGACTTAGAAAACAATCGGAAGGGCCGATGTTTTTCCTCAAAACAATGTGTGAGATGGTCTTAATTTTTAAAAGTGTGTCTCTGTCTCTCTCTCCCCTCTCTCTCCCCCCAACTTTAGGGACAAAGACATGTTCAGATAAACAAATGAGGCCGAATATTCGAGCTTATCCACAACCATATTTTTAGTACTCTCTTCGAATACTATTGGTTGAATTTTATTTTTAAGATTACTCGTTGGGAAACGATATTGATATGGACCACAACCAGAAAATAAGGGTCAACCTTCCTATAACCAACTAAATACTAATTTTGTCATTTAAGAGATCGTAAGCATCGGAGAAAGCGATCATGCGTCAATTGAGTTCGAATTTTCTTGCCAACGATCGCTAGGTGGAGTTTGTCACATATGGTTACTCCAATGTGATTTACATCTCTCGTATGGTTTTGCAGACTATTATATGAGAGTGTAGGTTTGCCCAATATACATAGCTATATAGTTGGCTGCGGATTCCGTTAATTCATTATAAAAAAAAAAAAAAAAAATTCATAAAATAATCAATTTAAATTTTTTAATTATTTCCACTACCAAATTGATAAATAAAAATTATAGATGGATTACTTAATATAAGAAAATAGTTTGAAGTTTAAACGAATGAATTAGTTAATTGAGGATAAATCTTCCTTGTGTTGTAAAAAAAAAACCAAATTCACCTGTATTACTTTTAGGGCAAATTGCACATTATCCCGAGTAAATTTCCATTTTTTGCACTTTACCCACTCAATTTTTTTTTAAAAGTGAATGTTCTCCTTCAAAATGTTATTCTTTTTGCACATTGCACCTTAAAAACTGTATTTTTTTTGCATGTTGTCCCCACTGGTGAGGCCAGAAATTTTTTCTTGGGGGGGCTTAAACACATCAGGGGTTCGGGGGCAGAACCCCCGAAATTTTTTTTGCTATCAAGGAAATATAAGATGAAAATTTAATATGAATTTTTTTCCTCCATTTTCATAAGATAATGCCAAAGCGAATCGCAAAAGCTAAATTTCTATAAAAATCTAAGAAACATGAATGTCAAGTCGATTATGAAATTTATACAAATGACTTCTAATTAATATTCATTATTAAAATTAAGATCAAATAAAGAGAAGACGTCAAACGTTAATTGATCGCCGGTGTTTTTGATCGCCAGTGGATAGCAATTTAACCGCCATTAGTGCGTCTATGGCAGAGAACAAAGTTTTTATTTTTATTTTTCAAAGAACGAGAACAAAGTTGGAATTAGAAGATGAGGACTCGTCAGACGTAAAGGGGGGCTTTGAGACGTGGAGCGACTTTGAATTAAGTGGACTTAAGGAGAGTACGTAAAAGTAAGTGGATTAAATCATGTAATTGGCAGGCTAAAAAATTAAAATATATACATATATATTTTACATTGTTTACCCCTATAGATCTTGATTATGTCCTTCGCTATTTCATTTATGTAAAAGTTAAAACAGTTCGTGCATAAGTGAAAAAAAAATATATTGATGAAAACAAGAACTAAATAAAATTATGCTCGACAATGCAAATCATGATTTTGGAGTAAACTAGGCGAAAGCCAGCCGGGTTTCCTCGTAATTACAACCAATTATCTTGTTATAAATACGATCGATCGCAAACAAGAAAATAAAAACATATATCATTGAACAACAGAATTTTAATATACACACACCCGCAGTTTTAAGTAAGATATATATTAGATGGCAAACAGTAAGGCTGCAATTTTTCTTTGTGTTGCGCTTCTAATGTTTTCTCTTCTTATGGTACACGTGGCTGAAAGTCGAGTTCTTCCCAAATGTAAGATCTTTTTTTTCTTTTCTTTTGTGGAATTTTCCATCTTTCTAATCTGCATACATATACATATGCAAAGAAACTATTTTAAGCGGCGCGAATTTTTAAAGATAGATTGTGATCACTAGCAGAGCCAGGATTTTAAATTCAGGAACCGAATGCATTAT